TATGGGACACGGCAAAACCAGTCCTGAGAGGAAAATTCATAGCATTACAGGCCTATCTCAAGAAACAAGAAAAAGATCTGATGAACCATCTAACACAACTAAAAGAACCAGAACGAGAACAGCAAGAAAAGCCCTGAGGAAGTAGAAGGAAGGAAATAATAAAGATCAGAGTAGAAATTAATGACATAGAAACTAAAAAAACAATACAAAAAAAATCAAAGAAACCAAGAGCTGGTTCTTTGAAAAGATAAATAAGATTGATGCACCTTAGCCAGACTCATCAAGAAACAAAGAGAGAGGACCCAAATAAATAAAATCAGAAATGGAGGAGGCAATATAACAACTGACCCAACAGAAATACAAAGGATTGTAAGAAAATACTATGAGCAACTATATGCCAATAAACTGGACAACCTGGGTGAAAGGACAAATTCCTAGAAGCATACAACTTTCCAAAGCTCAGTCAAGAAGAGGAAAAACCCTGAATTGGCTGATAACAACTAATGAAATTGAAGCAGTAGTAAAAAAAACTCCCAGCAAACAAAAGTCCTGGACCAGATGGATTTACAGGCGAGTTTTACCAAACATTCAAAGAACAATTAACCCCTATTCTATTTAAACTACGCCAGAAAATTCAAGAGAAGGGAAAACTCCCAAACTCTTTTTATGAGGCCAGCATCACCCCGATCCCAAAAACAGATAAAGACACTACAAAGAAAGAAAATTACAGGCCAATATCCCTGATGAACATAGATACTAAAATCCTCACTAAAATACTAGCAAACTGGATCCAGCAATACATTAAAAAGATCATACACCACGATCATGTGGGATTTATTCCAGGGATGCAAGGCTGGTACAACATCTGCAAATCAATAAACGTGATACATCACATAAACAAAATGAAGGACAAAAATCATATGATCATATCAATAGACGCAGAAAAAGCATTCGACAAAATCCAGCACGCATTTCTGATAAAAATTCTCAGCAGAGTGGGAATAGAGGGATACTACCTCAACATAATAAAGGCCATATATGACAAACCTACAGCCAACATCATACTCAATGGGCAAAAACTAAAACCATTTCCCTAAAAAACAGGTACAAGACAGGGATGTCCACTTCCACCACTCTTNAAGGCCATATATGACAAGCCAACATCATACTCAATGGGCAAAAACTAAAACCATTTCCCTAAAAAACAGGTACAAGACAGGGATGTCCACTTCCACCACTCTTATTCAACATAGTACTGGAAGTCCT